CTGTGACTGCTGGATATGGGCACCAGTGACCCACGCAACCCTGAAAAGGAAGAAGCGTGTACAGAAAATGGATGGATGGATGGAGTTCATTACATGTTGATTTTAAACATCTTTTTGTTGCCATCTGGTGGTCACAAGTAGGAAGTGCAGCTTGAAACCGCAACATGAAATGAACTACTTCACATCATGCATATTTCTGTCTGCAATTATATATTTATATATATATTTGATGCATTGAAACTTGTTTAAAAGTATGCCATGGCACCAAGCAAAAACAACCCATTCTTTTATTTACCATATTTCCTCCATTAAACGTTACCTTCTTTTTTGCTGCCTCCCGGTTGATAGAAAGGATGTGATGTCCTCTGTGGTCTGTCAGAGCGCACTTTGTGCAAATACACGTTTGGTCGCTCCTGCAGAACATTTCCAATTTCCTCCCATGCAGCCGGCACACGGGGTTGTCCAAGTTCTTCACCACGCTGATCAACTTGTGGCACCCAAGCCCTTCTGTCTGGTAATGTGGCTCCAGATGTGCAGCGCAGTACGAGGCCAGGCACGTCAGGCAGGACCGGACCGCGGCTCGCTTCGCCGGACAGAAATCGCAAGGGACCTCCCCGGTTCTTAGAGGTACCRCTTTATCTGGCGGTGGTGGTAGTGTTTGGTTGGTTTTCAGCTGTGGTCTTTCTGGGAAGACTGCCTTGCAGAGAGGACACTGGTAGACCTCATGGATCCTCCAGTATTCTCCTATACAGCCCAGGCAGAAGACATGTCCACAAGGAAGGGGGACAGGGCTGGTGAACTTATCCAGACAGATGCAGCACCCAGGAGGCTCCGACRTCATGTCCAAACTTTGCATCGGGTTTGGCATCCCAACCTGTGCAGAGATGATCTGATAYGTCACTAGTGGTTTAATATGATCTATGGAACATTTACTGTATTTCTAAGTTATGTAACACAGTTTACACACAAACTGACCCATTGTAATGACATCATTTAAACAYGTGGAGGTACCATAACGAACATCASAAGTGAGGGAGGGGAGTATTGAACGGGGCAACTGCAATTGTATTCCCAAGTTGTTTTTGCCAGTAAAGCCATGGCTTCAGCTTATTCAAGTCGAGCTAATTTGTCAGTGGAAGTAGCACCTATTTGGGGCTCATAGCAGTATTTACAAAAGTTGGGCATGGCTAGCTTAGAAATTGACCCATACCCTTTCCCTCCTGGCATGTTGTTGATTTGGTAAAATCATTGACTTTACCTATATTCATGCCACATAATTTGTAACACAACGTCATAAATGGTATTTTACCTTACCTAGGGCTGTGTATTGGCAAGAATTTGGTGATACGATACATATCATGACAGAGGGGTCACGATACGATATATACC